GGCCTTGGTCCTTAGACCTGGAACCTCCCTTACTTACTCATGATCCCGGTGCCATCTGATTTCTGGACCCATGTGGACCTTGTCACCTTAAAGTCCTTTTCAGAACAAGACAAAGCCACCGTGGCAGAAGGGAGAGCACCAAGAAGCTCAGCTTGCTTCTGTGGAACCATGCGGGGGGCATACTCCAGGGTGGCAGGACCGGGCGACAGAGAGCTGCAGGGGTGGTGGCGTGAACAGCATCAAGTTGTGGAAGATGAGCTTAAGCTGGAAGATACTAAGCATTTGTTGGGCTGTGATATTATCAATCTTAAAATCTGCAACAATAAACACTTAACAGAGATGTCACAGGAGAAGAAAGTTTTCAGGCTTTGCTTCCCCTCACGCTTGGTGCCAAGATGCCAGAGATGCTGCTATGAAGAGTGTCTGGGCTCATGCCTCTGTGGACAGGTTCCTCTTGTGGTTAATTTTGTTTAATGACTTCCATGGCCAGACCTTCCTCGAGCCCTGCTTTCCCCATGTTTGATTTACAAAATTTATTTTTGTTTTGAAATTTGGCACCAAAGAGCTGTTTCCTCTGTGTGACTTTGCAACGCCACCGAAGCCAGGTAGAAGCTTCCCTTGAGAGGACTCTCCATCCATCCGACTCAGTGAGGCCCCGGGTAGCCGTGATGAAACAGGAAACAAATTGTTTGTATGGTCAAGACAACACAGAGCCTCAGAGAAGCAATTCAGCAAAGACAGTGTTCCCGGAAGCATGTTCTGTAGCACCCCGTGTCCCGAGGCTTCATGGTCAGATGAACTGCTGGAGCACTGTGGGCTGGCCTTTCTCCTAAGAGTCCTGGATGCCTGTGGGCACATCAAAGAGTCTGACAAGGTCTGCAGGAGCTTGAATTTAATGCTCCTGTTCAAGGGCTTCGGCTGTGCATCCTGCCCCCCATCTCCCTGCCCGTAGGGGCACCCAGCACAGCATCTCTTGGGAGATGCTGCCACAAATCATGTTGTTTTTCTGGTTTGGGGACCCGGAATCTTGAGATTGTGAGGCAAGACCTCGTCCATGCAGATTTTAATAATAAACGATGTGGAGAGCAGCTTTCAACCCGACATTTAAAAAGTGGCTAAAGCAATTTGTTTACAGTCACGGGGAGCAGCACCTAAATCCACCCTGTCTTCCTTCCCTTCACTAAGGGGCTGAGTGTCCCTTTCCTGGGTGGGGGAGAAGCAGGGCCTCTTCCCTGGGGCGTTGCCACTGGCTCCTGGCCCTCTCCCCTGCGTCCCTGTGTCCACTGCCTCCACACGGGCCTTAACGACACTGACTTAATCTGTTTAATACATGAATTTCTGGGAGCTCCTTTCCAAGGGATGTTTTTCTGTTTCCTCGTGGTTTGATTTTTGCTGTTTTAAAGACCATTTTTACTCAAGTCTAATTATATTTTATTGTCAGAAAATGTGGTTTGTGCCATTTCTACTTTAAAAAAACAACTTTGGTGAAAATGTTTATAGCCTGTATAGGAGTGATTTTTGTTACAGATCCAGGGGTAGGCAGTGGGGGTGGCGGGGGGAGCTTGTCTGTAGAAACAGAATTTGACATATGTCTATAAAAGCAATATTGTTCAAATGCTCCAGACCATTCTTTTTGCACAATTGACTTACTCAAGACTGATGTATTATCTTAAAGTCTCCCACTCCTGGCACATTTCCCCCCTTCTGCCATTTTGGTGTTGTATATTTCAATCCTATGTTATTTGATTCTTGAGATTTATGAGATTTATATGTTCATTGTGAGTTGTGCCCTTTATCATAATAAGATTTTTAAATCTCATTTAATGCACTTGATCTTGAATATGACTTTGTCATATATTACTATTGACATGCCTACTTTAATTTATATTTGCGCATCCTTTCAGTTTCAATATTTCTCTTTTAAAATGTTTTAGTAGAGGCAAACAAAAGAAAGAGATAATTTAGGAATGTTTTTTATATGCATCCTGATTTTTTCCTCTTTAAAGCTACTTCTTATATACAATATGTTGTGACATTTTAAACAACAAGCCTGAAAATTTTTGCGATTTAATCAGGCGGACTATTTCTATGTATTATATAATTTGGGGGGTTATTTTTATCATTCTTGTTATTGCTATTCTCCATGTTTCCTTACCTCGCTGCCTCCCTCCCCTTTCCTGTGCTCCCTCCTGCCTCCCTCTCTTCATTCCCCGTCCTGCCCCTCTCCTTTCTTTCTTACAAAACTTGGACAGTCCATACCTCCTTTGATTCCCTCCTTTGGTGTCGATAATTCTCCTATTGCTTCTCTCTAAGTTCCTTAAAACATAGTTGAACTTGTATTTCTCCATCAACAATAGCAACCAAAAATGAATGTCTCCCACACTCGCTTTCCACATCCATTACGTGGCTAGAGTGGAGTTACCACTGAGCGAGGTAGGCGATGCTATTTTTATTGCATTTTAGACATGAGAAAACTGAGTCACGAGGGTTAAGAGTTTACATAGCTTCTTGGGAATCCACAGCTAAAATTGGAACCAAAGCAATTTGCCTCAAGACCCTGACCTCTTAGTCATCTTGCTAAAAATTACCTTTATATTTTTTAGAATTAAATATTATTATGTCTCTGCGAGTTGAAAAAGTTAATATATTATTTTACTTTGCTCCTGTCTTAGATGATTTGTTTTCGTATTCTCTTAGGACAGATGATGACGTTCAAATTTGTTAGTTTTATTTCCCTAAAGAATTAGTTTTTAACCCTTGTGTTATGGGGTGACCCATCTCCAATAGATATTTCAACTTGAGCACTGTTTAACTGGACTTTAGGCCAATGGCCTTTAGTTTGATTTGGAGCAGTTGAGGGACATCTCTGAGGCATCATTCTCAGTCAAGATGTCCAGGTGGTGTTTTCTGGGCTCTTGTGTATCTGAGCAGTAGAAGACATTTGCTCCCGAGCGAGGCCTTGCTGGGTGTGGGTTTAGTGGATTCTAATCCTTTCTGCTTTCACTAAATGCCTTTTCCCCTGGCATTTAGTGCTGCCGAAGGAAATATGACCCAATAGTGATTATCGGTGTATGTGCATGTCTAGCTTTATCTACACACATACACACACACACACACACACACACACACACACACACACATGATCCTGCACACAGGGCAGCATCCTCACTGAGGCGAGGAAAGTGCTCAGTGCTGGTCTCTGGGCTCCCAGGAATGGTGTTTGGTGTTCCAATCTGTCTTCACAAGGAAATGTGTGTCAGGGGAGATGAAGCTGAGCGAATGGGCCATCTCAGCGAATGGGCCTATGAGAGTCATCAGCCCTGGGGTTTCTTCAGCTTCATACTTACCTGGTTATATAGGTGCTGTGTGTGTTCATGTGCATGTACATCTGTGTGCAGTTGGCTGCCGCCTGTCTCTCCAGGTGTGTGATGCTCCTCCTGCTTTCCACTGCAGGTACATCTCCTCATGCCTGACATTCAGTACTGGATGAACAATGACAAGAATGATACACAAAGATTTGGTGGAACACATGGGTCTCAATTGAATTCTCATTTATCTTGAATATGGGGTCCACATACTCCTTCCCATTTCTTTGACTAGAACTGTGTCAAGTGCTGGCTCCTGGGACTATCACCAGAATAATCTGTTTCTAAGACAGAGCTGGGTTTATCACCTCCTTGGTGTGGTGGGCAGAACAGTAGCCCCCCCCAAGGATATCTGTGTCCCACCAGGAAGCTGTGAAGATGTTACGTTCTGTGGCACCAGGGACTTCGCAGAAGTGATGAAGTTAAGCATCATGGGAATGGAGAGGATCCTGGGTTATCGGGTTGGTTCCGATATAATCACAAGGTTCTTGTAAGTGAAGAATGAGACAGGCTTTCGACCCCTTTCCTCAGTCGTCAAAGCCAGCCAGGGCTGCTGGGGTCTTTTTCCTGCTGATGTCTCCAGGTTCTCTGCAACTATAAGCACTGGTGATGGTTGGACCCAAGTCGATAATCCCCCATCTCAAGTAGATATTCATCTAAAACAGATCTGCAAATCCCATGAGCCATGGAAAGTAAATATTTACAGGTTCTGAAGGTTAGGGCATGGACATCTTTGGAGGAACCATTATTCTTCCTACCACATCTGTAGCGAATCATTTTCACACCTAAATGCTTGCTTTACCTTTTGAGGGCACGCCTCCCTATTTGCATAGTCCATTTTATGACTAGTTTATGTAGATTTCCCTGGGATTCATGTTTGTTTGTTTTACTTATCTAGCGGTCTGGTTACTTGTCTGAAAACAAGGTGGGCAGTTTCTCCTTGTGCCTCTGACCTGCTTGATGGTGGTGAAGATGCTAGATCTTTAGCTGGAAGGATCATTTTTGTGCCAGATGCCCTTGGGCAGGAGCGGGCAGCGCCTGGTCTCTGTGTCGCTGTTAGCAGGGCAGGCAGTGTGGGTGGAAGTGTCTTCAAGGTCTTAAAGACTGTTCATCAAGAGTCCTTCTTTCAACAATTTTCCCATTTTTATATCTTTCTGTGTTTAAAATGAGTACTTAAATGGGAAGGTGGGGTTGGAAAAATCAATTGCTGTCAGCTCGTGGTTCTCATAGCTTAGGATTCTCCCTGGATCATTTATTTTCCATCTTCCTTCACCGTGTGCACAGATCTCTATCTCTTGGTGCCAGGGGCTGCTGAAGCGCTTGCCTCGGGTTCCCAGGCTCTCTTGTGCTCCACCCTCACAGTAGCCACATTCCTCCAAGCCACGGGGTGCAACTTGAAGATACATCTTTTACGCAGAAAAATGCAGGGTTGAAACTTCTGCCAACCTCATTGAAATATCCTAGGAAGTAGGCATATCCTTGAACCAATTCATGCTCAATATCGGGCAATTTAGATGAACAGAAATGCTTCTAAATTATAAAGAATTACATGAATATAAGCTTTGTTGCTGTTTTCTATTATGGTTATTGTCCAGAATATCAATGACATGCACTTCTGTTTCATCTCTGTTCCAGACTCACCTTGACATTCTGGCAAAAAGCGTGAATCGCAGGCAGGTCTACTTCCGGCAGGAAATTCTCTGCCAGACGCTGGGAGGGAATGCATGTCCACTGGTGACCATCACAGCCATGCCGGAGTCTCCCAGCGCCGACCACCTCGAGCAGTTCCGTGAGTAAAATCAGCACCTTCTTTGAATACTGGGTGGTGGTGATGATGGGGTGTCCTCAAGATCTGCATCACTTTGAGATCAGAAGCTCCATGAGGGGTTGGGGAGCAGACTATAGAAATGAATCCTCAACTTCTCTTGATACGAAGCAAGGGGTAGATGTTGCTCTGCTGTTAAAGAAGAGAAAATGATTGACAGCTGTCAGGCCACGAAATGACTGGTTGCTGTTGGGCAGCTTATTAGTGACGTCACTTCCTTTCTGAAACAACGCCAGGGTCTGAGTCACTTTTTCCCACCTTGAATCCAGGGATTTTACTTGCCACGCTCACTACTGTCATGCCACTCACACAGCCTCTCAGGTTCTGGAAGGAAGGAAGTTGAGTTTTGGAGTTGTTGCTACAAAATCCCCTTGATCACCTGAATGCCATTTGGATTTTAAGAGCTGAAGGTGGGGAGGGAGCTCCAGCCAAGAATTGCAAAATCAAACAGAGAACCATGAGCTGACAGCAATTGATTTTTCTAACCCCACCTTCCCATTTAAGTACTCATTTTAAACACACAGGTACATACAGAGACACAGAGAAAGAGAGAAGTGCACACACATGCACACACAGTCACAGAAACACACATGACTGACATAGAGATGCACAGACAGACCCCCTCCTACCTCCCCCCACAGGTGCCCCTTTAACATTAGAACCCTGGGCATAATCTTGAGTTACCTGTAACCAACTAGCTTTTCAAGTTGGCTTCTGACAGTCTCAGAGCTTAGATAGGCAAAGTGAAGTCAAACAGAATGAGGCTTCGTGCTTTGCAATGCAGAAAGTTAGGGAGATGAAAGTAAAGACTTGGGAATAAGAACGCTGCTAATTTATCCCCAGAAGATGCAACCTCCCCTGATGAGGTGCTAACTGCATCCAGGTGACTCCTTGGAGCATCCCTGTGCAGTTTCTCACACCCCATCAGTGCGTGACAATGGATGCTTAACAGCCTGGCTAATCAACAGCTGATTACCCGTCTGAATGAAGGAGGCCCTACAAAGCTTTAATGAATAATAAGGGATTTTTCCAAAAATTCTTTTATGCATCAAATGTGTTTAAGAGCAATTTCTGTAACAGTTTCGGAGCCCTTTGCTCTCCGGTGAGCCATGCTTGGAAGCTAAAGACGGCCGTCCTTCCAGGGCTGCCTTCAGCAGCAGCTACTTATCTCAGGAAGTGGTTTCGTGAAAGTCTGCACCATGCAGGCTCCCTTTCCGAAGACGGTCTGTGCGGAACCCCAATGTATAATTTTGGCGTGGAGCTGCCTCTGCTTGTTTACTTTTCTTCATGCTGTCTTTGTTGTTTGGTTGACATTACAACTAGAGAGATTGTTTTTGCTGTCAGGAGGCGACTGGAACCATCGAAAAGCCCCATAATCATGTGGCACTGAGATAGTTCAGTTCAAAGTAAAGCGGTCTCATCTGAGTCAAATGAGACTGGTTTCTGCTTGCTCTGTAAGATGCGTTACCTAAATATATACTCTGATGTCTCATTATAGCTTTCTCTTTTAAACACATGCTTTTTATCCACAGTTGCTCATCTTGAGGGGTGCCTGGGCTGAGAGGAGAGGACCCCGGGGATAGTCAGATGATGGCTGTCTGTCATCTGTCCATAAAAAACTTGCAAGTGACAGTCATTGAGTTGGACCCTGAGGTGCCCAGGGCTCTGACAGGGAGGACTAGTTAGCGCCAAGGTCATTGCTGTGCCCACTGCACTGTGGCCGGGTGCTGTGCCAAGATGGGCCTACGGCTTCATTGAATGCTCTTGTGTCACTGTCTTGAAATTCTTGCAAAGGGTTTGAACAAGGTGACTCGTGTTGGCATTTGGCCCTGGGCCCTGCAGATACAGAGCCGGTCCTGGGCCTGACTTAAGGTCACATAGCTAAAAGGTGCTGTCCTTTCTGTGCCTCCAGCCCCTATTTCCAATGCACACAAGAAGAGTCCCAACCAGTTTTGTCTGGACATTGAAAATTGGTGTGGATTCTGTGGGCGACTGGCGTTTTTGCTAATAGGGGTTGATTTCAGAAGTCTGCGTGTACCGAGGGGGTGAGTGGGGCTCAGGGAGGTAAACCCCACCCGAGGGAGCCCCATTTGCATCCTCCTCATTCTGTCCAACTCCAGAGTCTGTGCTCACACAGTGCGCCGACATGGTCTCGGGAACAGGTGGTCAGCGTGGCCCGTCTCTCTGCCCTGTGAGCCAGAGGCCCCTCGCCCTGCTCTGCGTCCTCACGCTCAGTTGATCACAGATAAATGTATTACTCTCCTCACTCTGCTCACAGTGAATTTTATTTTCCTCTCCTAACCCAATGAAAGCAATTTCGTGGTGGAGGTTTTGGGCAGGGTGGCAGGAAAGCAGGGGCTGGAGGGGGTGGAGGGTGGGAGTGTGAGGAAAGAAGTCTCTGCCCCTCGGGCTCCAGCACAGCCACCATTGTAGGGTATGGGCCGCTGTGCCGGGAACGCGGGCTCAGATGGGCCACGGGACGAACGGTGCTCAGCAGCTTGCTGTGAACACACGAACACGTGCCGACGCTGAGTCTCTCTAGTTCACACCCCAAATGTGATTAACTGTGCCGGAAATCAGAAGTAAAAACCCCTTAACTTACCTTGAACCACAAAATGTGAAGGATCAGTTTAGGCTGAGGAAATAGCACTTGGACAGGTGACACATCCTGTCCTGTCCCCAAGGTCCCCCCACCTCACCCGAGGTGCCCCCCACCAGGTGATGTGCTTCCTCTGTCCCAGGGACCAGGCTGGTTGCCCCAGGGGAGGGGTGTGTTCAGCTGTGATTGAGTTAGTTTCTGGCTCAGTAGCTGACTTACTCCTCAGAAAGGGATTTGTGCATTGAAAGGCTTTCTTTCCTCATGGAGATGATAGCTTCTTCTGCCTTATTTTGGAAACCCAGGAAAGGAGGCCCTGACTGTGGGCCTGGAAGAATTCCCCCGCTGGAGACAGGGGCCCCTGGTGGTCTGGCCTAAGGCCCAGGGCTGGAGATAATTGAGGACAATTTATTGATTACTTTAGTCCATCCCAGGGCATGGGCTCCAGAGAGTCTCCTGGAAGCATTTTTTTGGTTTGATTTATTTTTCAAAAGCATTTTTTTTTTCAAAAAACAAAAACAAAAAACATTTTCCTGGAAATATTGAGCCTGGATTTCTTGGTAAACATTTTCTGTTGAGTAGTGGCCAGATTTGCCTTGGTGTATGTGTCCATCCATGTGATTTGGAGGACTGAGGACCTGAGAGGAGACTTGCTCCTTGACGAACCTTGAGATTTGAGCCCTCAGGGTCCAATTTGGCAGATCTCAAAGGGCACAGTCACTCTTTGCCCTTTTCACTGGGACATGGAACAGGATGGTTTTCTGAGAGTGTCACGAGGCCATAATGGAAGATATGGGCTTGAGGAGAAACTGACCATCGTGGGGAGTCACCCCAGAAAGAAGCTGCCATCCCAGCATCAGAGTCTGTGGAGGAGACACTGGGGGACCAGGGGGGGCAGCGCCTTCTAACCCCTGTTTCTGGATGTGGAAGGAGCCCAGGGGCTGCATCAGAGGCTCTCACAGGCTACTGGTGCAGAAGGCAGGGCACCGGAAATGTCTTCTAGTGCTTTCTGAGACTAGTCTCCACTGAACAGTGCTGTGCTGGCATCATTCCCTTTAGCCCAGTTAAACCCTTTAACACATTACATATTAACAGGGACTTCGATCAGCAGACCCTTTAATAACAACTTCCAAATAGATAGCTGAGGTGAGATTTTTTTAGTGTGTGTGTGCTCTTCAAAAGCAGTGTGTATGCACATGTATGTGTATGTTTTGCACACGTGTGTGTGTTCACCAAAACCTCCACCCTGAAAATGCTTCCATTGGGTTAGGAAAGGAAAACAAAATTCATGGCATATGTTCGCATAGGTGTGTGTTCTGCTTTCTTGGCCTTGAATGGAGAGAAGATGCTAATTAGAGCAGAACCAGAGAGTAACTCAGAGTGTAGAGAAAGCTGCTGGGGGCTCGTTCGTTCACTCAAACCCCAGTGGGAGTGGGATTGGGTGAGAAACCCAGGGAGGAGCGTGGTTCTGCTTTTGGCAAGACTCAGCACTCCCCACAGCCAGCCTGCTGTGTGCTTCTTGCTGCCTTGGTGTGGAGGGACTTTCACTCAGGACTTCTAGGCTTCTCTCCACTTTGCATAGAGCCAAGTCCAGACTCACTGCAGGTCAAAAACCAGCCTAAGTCAAGGGCAGTAAATGTTCCCTCAGGGAGGAGAACCTGGGGCTCCACCCCACTATTGAGGGGAGTGGGGGGTATCTCCCTCCTCAGACTGTGTCCCCACTGAGAAATTTCCCAGAGGGCGCACAATCAGGATCTTTAAAGACAGCTGTCATTGAGTTAATGTCCCATTTTCCTCAGCCCAGAGAAAGCTGGTCACTTTGTACTTGGGAAGCTCTAGTTCTGTGAGAGATGATTCATTTTTCTTGGGAGCTTTAGTGCCCAAAGTCTCACCTTCGGACAGCTGTGTGTTCAGACCCCGTCATGCAGTTGTCTCCACCTGAGTTACCTGAGAGGAAGAACTCAATTGTGGGAATTTTCTGAGAGAAAATGTCCTTCTCTTATTGGAAACTCTCACCCTCCAAGTGTATAGTCACTGACTGACTCATTGATGGGTGAGAAATCGAGAAACAACAAAGGTGGATGGGAGGAGGTGGCTTTGCTATTTTTGCAACTGGAGACACCTCCACCCTGCATTTATTAGTTCCTAAAAGAGCAGAGTGTAACCTTTATGTGTCTCTGGAGGTGAGGTAATCTCATGCCACGTCACAGCCTCCCATGGCCCACACGCTGTTCTTTCCATGGGCCTGGGAGCAGGTGGGGGGAGTGAGAGGCTGCATTTACAGTGCTTAAAGAATACCTTTCTCCTTTTCTTTTTCTTAAAAATATTCTTACAAAAGCAATGTTCTATTCAGCCTGCCATTATGCTA